AAGGCCAGCAGTATGAGGCTTGAGGCAGCATTTCTAGTGGCAGCGGCAGCACTGGGGCTGAAGTTGAGGCCTGGTGGCAGTGGCAGCTGGCTGAGATTGCTGAAGGCCTTGGGCCTGTATGTCAGCCCCAGCCCCGGCGCTGCTGCCAATGAGTGCCGCTGTGCAGGGCAGCCAAAAGGGGATAGATGGGGGGAGATAGATGGGTGGAGGGAGTTAGAGCACCCCTGTGGTCATAAGTGCAGGCAGGCTGCCAAGCACCCGACTTTGGATCACCTGACCTGGGGGCGCTGCAACAGCTGTATCTTTGGCCACGGGTTGTAAGTACATTTTTTTCAGCTCTGTCATAATTTCAAACAGTCTCTGAACGAATCGTTGTTAAGCAAGAACTACATGTACTAATTTACTTTTTAATAACAGTCACTACAGAGACTTGTGTACTATTGAGTTTTTCTGGTGCTTCAAAGGTAGCCTTGGAAGGCAGTGGAATACTCCATATTACTGTTCTGGGACCCCCTTTTGCTTTAAACTTATATGTTTCAAAAAATATAGAAGTGTTGCAGTGTTACTTCCTTAGGCTCTGATTTAACAGTATGCTGTTTTTGAGTTTCCTTCTCTTTAGTTTTCAAAGAAAAGCCAAGTAGTTTGCACAAGAAGAAATCTGTCATGGTAGCACATTCCTGTTTTTTTGCTTCGCTATACTTTAGAGTGGCAATGAGCAATAATTATAAAGGAATTTTTGTAAGCCCAAATTGCTGGCTGCTTTTTCTAATGCTTTATTTGATTTCCATCAAATTCAAGCTCCACCCTTGATTGTTCTGCCAGATACATGATGTTTCACGCAGAGAGTCTGAGAATGTTTTGTTCCACATCTGGTAGTAATAAAAGGACTATACCACTATCCTGAGATTATTGACTGGGTTTAGAAGAAGTTGCTTTCATACTTAGAAGGGATATCACCCAGATATTAACCTAGAATCTTATCAGTTTTAGATACGCAGGTTTCTTGGGCAAATAAACTCCGTGTCCGTTACTTTTTGTGGTATCATTGGCTGTTTTAGAGCTACACAGCCAGAGCAGTTAATTGCAACAGAGTACTGCTGTGCTTTAAATGTTTTGTCCAGATTCACCAACACTCTGTTGCCAACAGAAGGCAGTTTTGCAGTTCTCAAAGGGGGACAGTTAATGACTGCTTACAGCAGTGCAAGCAGTTGAGGCTGAAGTTGGGTCAAACTGAAAGTATGAACTTAACGATGGGCAGAAACTCTGGGGCAGAAGAAACGCAGGAGTGATAATTCATCAGCATGTTTATATGGAAGCTCTAAAACTACCTCAGAAATGTCAATTTTTTCATTATTCGTTCAGGAATTTAAATAGAAAGAAAGCCTCATGATATCAAATTAATAAAGTAATTTATTATGAACGCAGAAAACCTCCTATTGGCACTAAGTACTTTAAAAACTTTTTTTTAATCTCCAGATTCGAGAGCAAAATCGATACGACTTAAAGACTGCAGGTCCACAATCTCAGTTGCTTGCTGGAATTGTAGTGGATAAAAAGCCAAGTGCTGTAAGTGTATATCCATTGTTGGGTCTTAAAAATAAGTTGTTTAACTGTGTTCAGTAATTAAAATACCAGACAGCTACATAAGGCTGTGTCTTTTGTTTTGCAATAAAAATAGAACTAGAGTGCAAATACTTTAAATAAATTAAGAGTACGAATATATACATACCAATCATGCAATTCCTCTACAGAATAAGTAGTGTTAACCTACACATATTAAAGTTGTTTTGGAGAACCATACATTTGTTCTCCAAAACAACTTTCTAGGATGGGGGCAATCCTTCTGCAGCCAGGCCTTTATTTTCTTTTATTACTTTTATAGCAGACAACAGGATGATATTGACATAGGAGCAAACATTTTATGTATTTTATTTGTAGAACTTCCTGTATTTTATTTATTTTTTGCAGTTTAAGATGTGCTAAGCATATCTAGAAATATAATACTTCTTATTTCTTTGAGATCCTAGCAAAAATCAACAGGAAATGGGTTGCTTAATACCCAGGAAGTTGAGGGGGGGCACAAAATAAGGATCTTGGGGGCTTACACTCCTGATTTATGCCAGTGTGACTTAATCAAAAACAGGATTGTGCATTTACATTTTTGCCAGTTGTTAAAAATAGGTTTCAGACATTTTTTTAAAAAAATCATAACGTGCTGCATTTACTTAATGTCATTTTTTTGACAGGCGGTATCATGCAGAGATATGTCCCTCCATCCTTACTGTTGAATCTCTATCTGACAAATTTAATCCTGGTTTTTAGACAAATATAAGGATATCCAATAAAACTGCCAATAAAGTAAATCTGCATTTTACATGATAGAATCCCAAATATTGATTCCTACTGATTTCTCTTCAAGTAGCTACAAACTACCTTTTTCCATAGTATTTTGGATTCTCTTAAAAGTATGGCAGAAAAAGTGCTTAGAATCTGGTTTTAACTTTTGACTAGTTTGGTGTGGTGTTACACTATATGGTTCTGGCTCAAACTGAAACAAATCTTGCCGCCCACTTATATATTTAACTGTAACTTATTCATTTACTTTTTCATTGAAATAGGCCTTGGTTCACTAAATCCAATCTTTGGATCTCTTTACTGCACTTTCAGTCACCATTGTTTCTCATTTTGAATTTTTCTAATTTCAGAAAAGGGCTCTTTTCTGAGTTTCTTGACTATGACAAATATAGGAGAGTAAGGTTTAGTAAAGTTTAATGCCATTTTTCTGTAGTACTGGAAGGGCATTATAAAGGTATCCTATTAGATCATGTTAAATCCATGACATTTAATTTTGTACTATAATACTTAAAAAGGGGCTTGAGAAATATTATATTTATTTTATTTACCCAATAGGAACATAAGTTTTTTTCTCTCAAAAGCTGTGGATTGAAAAGATAATGTCCTGTAAGGAGCAAAAGGGATAGAGAATGTTAACTTTTATTCCAGTGCCTAACCAGGGCTGGCTGGCTGGCTGGCTGGCTGGCTCCCCTCCC